TCGAAAAGTTGGCATGAGAAGCTGGCAGGTGAAGTAATTTTTCGAAAAGTTGCCACGAGAGGTTGGCAGATAAATTATTTCTCGAAAAGTTGGCATGAGAAGTTGGCAGGTGAAGTAATTCTCGAAAAGTTGGCAGGTGAAGTTGCCACGAGAGGTTGGCAGGTAAAGTATTTCTCGAAAAGTTGGCATGAGAAGTTGGCAGGTAAAGTAATTCTCGAAAAGTTGGCATGAGAAGCTCGCAGGTGTAGTAACTCTCGAAAAGTTGGCATGATAAGCTCGCAGGTGAAGTAACTCCTCGAAAAGTTGGCACGAGAAGTTGGCAGGTGAAGTAACTCTCGAAAAGGTGGCATGAGAAGCTGGCAGGTGAAGTAATCTCGAAGTTTCGGCATGAGAAACTGGCAGGTGAAGTAATTAACCCTCAAAAAGCTGGAGCGGCGGAGGCGCTCCGCGTGCTACATTTGCAATTTACAGTTGCGATTTTCCAGCCATTTGTATCTAAAAGTTGCGATTTTCCAGCCGGAGCTGCGGGAGCACGCTCCGCGTACTACGTCTGTACTTAAAAAGTGCGATTTCCAGCCGGAGCTGCAGCAGCCTCCGCGTACTACGTCTGTACTTAAAAGTTGCGATTTTCCAGCCGGAGCTGCAGGAGCACGCTCCGCGTACTACGTTTGTACTTAAAAGCTGCGATTTTCAAGCCGGAGCTGCCGCGGACCAGGGGGGGAATCGAACCCGGGACCGCGGGATTGCGAAAGCAGGCGCGCACACCACGAGACAACTTCCAAAAGCCGTTTCGCGAGCAAGAAATCGCACGGCGCCACAGCGAGAGCGCTTCGACACGCACGATCTCCGCAGAGGGTTCATCGGGCTCAAGACAGATGCGCACGGCGCCACAGCGAGAGCGATCCGACGCGCACGATCCCCGCAGAGGGTTCATCGGGCTCAAGACAAATTCGCACGGCGCCACAGCGAGAGCGCTCCGTCACCGCACGATCCCCGCGTAGGGTTCGCAAAGGGTCAGGACAACATTACGCCACGGCGCCACTGCGACGGAGCGCTTCGGACACGCAGGATTCCGGCAGAGGTTCGCCAAGGTCAAGACAAATTCGCACGGGCGCCCACAGCCGGAGGGCTCGGTGGGGGGGGGGGGGGGTGGGGGGGGGGGCGCTTCGACATCAAGCCTCCTCCGCAGAGGGTTCGCCAAGGTCAAGACAAATTCGCACGGAGCCACAGCGAGAGCGCTTCGACACGCACGATCTCCGCAGAGGGTTCGCCAAGGTCAAGACAAATTCGCACGGCGCCACAGCGAGAGCGCTTCGACACGCACGATCTCCGCAGAGGGTTCGCCGCGCTCAAGACAATTTCGCACGGCGCCACAGCGAGAGCGCTTCGACACGCACGATCTCCGCAGAGGGGTGCGTTTCGTAAGCTCCCGTCGGGCATACCCCCGCCATAAAAAGAAGAAGAATTAAGAGTCGAGATGTGAAGGTAGAACAGAAAAGTTAGCTTGTGTTTTTAGGATAGTGAAGTAACACCCGACAAATTAGCTTGTGCTTTTAGTAGAATGAGATAACAGCCGAAAAGTTGACATGAGAAGTTGGCAGGTGAAGTAACTCTCAAAATGTTGACATGAGAAGTAGGCAGGTGAAGTAACTCTCGACAAGTTGGCATGAGAAGTTGGCAGGTGAAGTAACTCTCGACAAGTTGGCATGAGAAGTTGGCAGGTGAAGTAACTCTCGACAAGTTGGCATGAGAAGTTGGCAGGTGAAGTTGGCAGCCGCTTTTAGAAGAAGAACCCTTCGCAATGCTTCCGGGAACAAGCACCAAGGTCACCAAAGGCTAAACCTGCGGATTGTTTCCCAGCGAGAAGTTTGCGCCTCCGGCGGAGATGAAATTGGCGGAGGGTTTTCGACTCCAGGCAGCGCGTCCCGGGTGCTCAAGGTGGACGGAAGTCGAGTGGAGCTGATCGGCCCCGAGCTGGCGGGGAAGTTCAAGTGGCCCGAGCCTCGGGGCGTCAGCGGGTCTCGGGTCTCGGAGTCTCGGAGTCTGGCCTGAAGGAAGCTGTGGATTGAAATGGACGGAAGGAACCCCAACAAAAAGTCCCCCCAGGCAACTTCCTCTATTTTTTTCGGTTGGAAGTTGAAGTGGCATTGGCAGGTAGTTGTTGAGTGGTACTTTCGCACCTTTTTGTTTGGCACTCTTTTCTTCTTGGTGGGCTCCTGCAATCCCCTCCAGACATGATCAACCCCAAGAAGGAGCCGCTGCGCTCGCTTCTCAGCCGCCGGAAGGTGTACCAAAGCTACTTTTCCAGCTGGCGTTTGTTCTTCTTGCAAGCCTACATGAGTATGGGTCAAAATTAAATCACCAGGAATTGGACCGCAGGCTTTAATCCATGTTTTCAATTATATACCAGGGTTCCATTTTGGGTTCCTACTTCTGACAACCACAGCCACATGTCATTTGGGAGCTGCTCCCAGCGACGAAGGCTCCGCGGCATCGAGCTCAAAGGCATCATCTATGGTTGCTGGGCAGAATGGGCGGTGGTTTTGACTCAACATTAGGGATGCCTCCCGAAAATTGTGGTCTTCCTTTGGCTTCCGTTTGAACCAACCCCAAAACCGGGTAGCCTCCAAAACACACGCCCATGTTGCGAGGTTCCTGAGGTTCCTAACCTTGTCAGCTGCTGTTTTGCTATTCATGGTAGTGGCACATGCCGTCTGAAATGATTTACATGTACTTGTGAAGCCCCTCAGGAGAGAGGAGGAGAAAAAAAGCAACAACGGCCCTCCAAAACCCTTTGTCCAACAATCAAAGGTTTTGGGAAGACCAACTCAAGGAAGAGGGTGCTGTTGGGCCTTGGCACACTATCCTTAGTTCTTTGTCACTGGAAAGATGAAAGCGGGTGGCGCCAGAAAGCATCCCATCCCCCCGGCGCCCTCGCTTGCGCCATCCAGGCGCGTTCGCGCGCGATTTTTCGAGCCGAGGCGTGCCCACCAATGCGGAGCAGGTGCTGCAGATTGAGCCCGGCACGGGGCGGGTGCAGCTTATAGGGCCCGTCTTCAAGGGCGATTGGAGCCTCGGAACTGGGTGTGGCTCAAAATTAAACAGGAGGGGTTACGCAGGTTTTGGTCCATGTTTCCACTTACCAGGGTTCCATTTTGGTACCGGTTTTTTGAGCCACAGCCACAAATCTCCCCCCCCCCTCTCATGGAATTGGGGGCTAGGTGAGGGCCAGATTGCTGTCTTCGTGCATGTAAGCAGGGGATGGACCAGCTTGGCACAGGACCAAAGCTTAGGTGCCTCTATCTGCCATGTTTGTCAGCTAGAGGGTAGGTTGGTAAAAAAACCAAGCCCAGACTCAGCTAGGACCTAGGAGTTTTGTTTGTTTGCTGATGCAGTTGATGTGTTGCGACCATCTCTCGCATCAAACAACATGTGTTTGTCATTTTTAGATACTGGAAGGCTTAAATTGGGGAAGCCAAGGGTGATTGCACAAAAGCTTACCTTTGATAATCGGGCGGTCCAGCCTATTTGAAAGGCTTGGCATACACACACATATATATATATATATAATACGGCATATATGTATATATGTCGTCAACACGTGACCGTCCATGTTTTTGTTAGTCTGATGCAGGGGTTTGCTGCGCACAGACGCATGCATCATAGTTGTCTTTTTAATATGCTCAGGAAGTGGCACGGCGGAGTTCTGGCGGCGGACGGGTGCATCTATGCGACCAGACAGAACGGGCTGACTGGGGTACAAAAACCACAAGGGGCACACTCTCAGTTGGGGGGTGGGTAGGTGGCGGGGTGGCGGGGTGGCGGGGTGGCTGGGTGGCTGGGTGGCTGGGTGGCTGGGTGGCTGGGTGGCTGGGTGGCTGGGTGGCTGGGTGGGTGGGTGTGGGGTGGGGTGGGGTGGCGTGGGGTGGGCTGAAACCGAAAAGGCCGACACGTCAAGCGCGGATGGCTTGGCATCTCAGTGCGTCTCGGTGAGGCCATCCCTTGCAACGCCCAGTCCGTGCTGAAGATCTCGCCCGGCCAAGTCGGGACCATTTGCGACAACTCCCCGGTGCTGCGGGGCCGGGCGGGGGCCCTGGCCGGTTGCATGTTGGGTGGGGTTTGGTTGCAGCAGAATGCATCTTGTCTTGCCTTTCCTTGGTGGCTCCCAGCCATCCGGTTCCTTAGCTTGTTGGCCTTTTAGTGTTTAGTGGTAGTTTCCATTTAACCCACTAAAGGAAAACTTTTAGCGGGGGATCTGAGGGCAGCCCAGTTTCTAGGACCTCCGACTCTCACTTTTTGCAAGGCCTTTATGAATGCAAGCCAGCTGTGGTGCTCTGAGTATTGAATTGTGTCTAGAGGCTAGGCTGCGCCCAATGCTTAAATTTCAGATTAGATTTACAATGCACTGCAGACATTTGCTGCCGAGGTTATGGCAATTCAGCAAATAGGCACTCTTGTGGGTCGCCATGTGCTCAGATTCAAGCGACTTCCAGAAACATGTCCAAAAGCTCCCAGTGGGTGTGTCTTTTTAGGGCACCCCCCCAAAAAAAACCATAAGCACAACAACATGTGGTTTCTTTTAGTTCCCTTCCAAGCCACGCAAGGGGGGTACCCTCAAAAACAGGAGCCATACCCAGTGAATCCAACTCCCAGTGGGCATCTCTCCCGCCTTGCGATACCTTTTCTTTTTTCTGCCTCCGCGGCCAGTGCAAGTGGTACGGCGGCCTATTGGGCTGCGACGGCTGCATCTATGGCATCCCCAACTGCGCAGAGTCCGTGCTGAAGATCGACCCGCAGACTCAGGCGAGCGCAAGGGGGGGTTCTGAGCAGGACCGGTGGTGGTTCTAGGTGCCCCAGGATCGTGCCCTTTCTCACCCCTTTTCTGGTTGGGAGGGTTTTTCTACCAAAATAGACTACAGGAAAACGTTGGTGCCCTTCTTCCAACCTCTCGACTGGAGGACCTAGAAGGGAGAAAAAGCCACCAAAGCGCTTAGGAGGTGATGACCATCGGCCCCAAGTTCACGCAGGGCGGGCAGCTGCTCGGCTCTTTGAGCCCGGTTTGCGGATGAAAAGTGGCCTGGGCGGGTGGCAAGTCACGGTGGCTGCAGGGCAGGTGTGCTGGTTGAGTCTCGTTGGATCCAAGCAGCAGATTGATCTGGGAGCCAAGCATTGGCCATTGGGTCGCACAGAGCTAAGGAAGTGGCATGGCGGCGTCGTGGGCAAGGAACCGGGCGACGGTCCGGTTTGCGATGTGGGCTGTGGGTAGGGTTCTGCTTAGATGCGCTTGGAGTTAAGGCTCCGCTGTCTTGGAGCCTTGGCTGTGGTGGGTGACCCCAGTCTTCACCAGGTGTTCGCACTTGACTGCCCACCGAGGGCTACCTAGTGGAACGTCCTGACCTCACCTATGCAGGGCATATTCAACTTTTCTCTTCGTCGGTTGCGGAGACTTGTTTGTCTCGGCTGTGGGAGCCCGCAACATGGTTGGATTCCTTTTGGTTTCCCATTATTCACCCACCCAGAAAGGGTCCCTCCAAAAAAGATCAGCCATGTGCAGTCATTCGCCAAATCCAGTGGTTTGAGCCGACGGCGGCACAGCAGATGTGCTGCAGGATGGCTGCATTTACGGCGTGCCTTCTCACGCAGAGGTGCCTTTGCCGAGTTGCCGGACCGCCCAGTTGGGCGAAAACATGTCAAACAACCAGAGCCTGGCCCTGACAGAAGCTTGTTTGGACAAGGTCGTTCTTTTAGCAAGTTGTCCCGAGCCTGGCGACCATAGCGGCCAAGCTAGACATTGACATTTGCGGTGCCAGAGCCATGGACAACGCTTTGCAGCGAAGCCTAGGCGGTCCTGAAGATCGACCCCCGCACCGCTACCGTATCCACCATTGGAAAGCCAATTGAGAGTGGCGCCTCGCTAGCAAGGGGCTATTGCTTCGGACAGGGGGAATGGTTTCACACAAAGCAGCTGTGCATAGTGCATATCCTGCGTTTAGTGACTCTGCAATCCGGGCGTTGCCCGCAAGTGAGGCCACCTTGCCCGAAAACTCCATGTCCGATTGTTCTCCAGGAGAAACGGGTGAAGGATGCCGTGCTGAAAAACTGGTTGCAAGGCATTTGGACGCGGAAGCAGGTTGTCTTTTTTTGGGGACCTGGTGGTTCTCCTTTGGTTTGCCTCTAAAACCACCAAAAAAAAGGGTAGAAGCTCCCAAAAAGGACGGCTGCCCTCCGCGATTTCGGGCCTGGCCATGTTGGGCCTAGGGGTGTGGCGCCCCAACGGCAAGTACAAGTATGGCGGTGGTGTGGTGGCCGGGGACGGCACCATCTACTGCCTTCCCAGCGACGTGCCGCGGCAGCAGCCAGGGGGGGACTTTTCGGCGGTTGGCTTCTCGGTGGCGAAGCCAGCCATCCGGGTCCTTAGCTTGTGAGCCTTTGAGTGTTTCGTTTCCATTTAACCCACTAGAAGCGGAACTTCTAGCGGGGGAGCTGAGGGCAGCCCACGTTTGTGAAATGCCGGCAAGGGCAAGGCACCGATTCGCCGTTATTCAGGAACCTGGCAACAGCGAGAGTCTCTTGGCAAACACTTCGGCTATAAGTTGCGGGTGATCCTCTTCTGGCTAAAACGCTGGGGCCCAATACCCATCGAACATGTTCTTTCGCCCCCTACTTCTTGCAACTCCCAAATCAGGGGGAACGATCTTTACGCTTCGCTTGGCGACTGGCCCCCTTTTGCCGGTGTGCATTTTGAGGCGGTCCCGTATGGTCCCCCTGCACTCGCTGGGCAGGCAGTACAACGGCAGGTGAAGATTGCAGCGTTGCAACCTCTCTTTTTTGTTTTTGAGAGGGGGGGGCCTTTTGTGGGTTGGTTTGAAGGGACAGAAACAACAATGGTCGGGGTCCCCTATCTTGACACATACCCATATTTTTCCTACAACTTGCCGTGGCGTTTGTGTTTGGACGCTCTGGCCGATGCCAACCAATTTTTTTAAGCGAATGCCGCCCCCGAAGGCTGATGCAAAAGGCAGTGGTCTGTCACGTGGAGCTCGCAACTCGCGTTTTCGCATCGCAATGGAGGCCCCTCTTCAAGACTCGGCATTGTGCCATCCACAATGCTGGTTTCCCCTTTGGTTTCCATTTAAAACCACCACACATGAACTCATTGGCTCATGTCGGCTTGTTCGACTGCAAAGGCCGACTTTGTCCTCAAGGTTGTGCCGGAGACAGAAGAGGTGACGACCATTGGGCCACGGTTCGAAGGCCACAACAAGTGTCCCAGCATCACATCCATCTATTTTGTTGTGTGTTTCCTTTCCTTTGTGTGTGTGTGTGTTTTTCCCCAAACAGTTTACTGTGAGGGGTTCTAAATTCATTTAAGGTGGCTCGCCTGTTGCCAAGCCCTAGCCTGGATGCCTGGCACAGCTCTCTGGGTGGACGGGTTCATTTGTCTCCCTGTGTCTTCCTTCATTTGTCTCCCGTTGTCTCCCCGCCTGGATGCCTGGCACGGCTCTCTGGGTGGACGCGTTCGTTTGTCTCCCTGGGTTCACTTGTCTCCCTTTGTCTCCCTTCATTTGTCTCCCGCTGTCTCCCAGCCTGGATGATCCAGTCTGGGTGGACGGGTTCATTTGTCTCCCTTTGTCATTTGTCTCCCGTTGTCTCCCAGCCTGGATGCCTGGCACGGCTCTCTGGGTGGACGGGCTCATTTGTCTCCCTTTGTCTCCCTTCATTTGTCTCCCAGCCTGGATGCCTGGCGCGGCTCGGGTTCATTTGTCTCCCTTTGCCTTCCCAGCCTGGATGCCTGGGTGGACAGATTCACTTGTCTCCCTTTGTCTCCCTTCATTTGTCGCCCGTTGTCTCCCAGCCTGGATCTGGCACGGCTCTCTGGGTGGACGGGTTCATGTGTCTCCCTTTGTCCCCTTCATTTGTCTCCCGTTCTCTCCCAGCCTGGATGCCTGGCACGGCTCTCTGGGTGGACGGGTTCATTTGTCTCCCTTTTTCTCCCTTGATTTCTCCCGTTGTCTCCCAGCCTGGATGCCTGGCACGGCTCTCTGGGTGGACGGGTTCATTTGTCTCCCTTGGTCTCCCTTCATTTGTCTCCCGTTGTCTCCCAGCCTGGATGCCTGGCGCGGCTCTCTGGGTGGACGGGTTCATTTGTCTACCTTTGTCTCCCAGGATGTCTGGCACCCCTTTGTTTCCCTTCATTTGTCTCCCGTTGTCTCTCAGCCTGGATGCCTGGCACTGTTTTTTTGGTGGACAGATTGACTTTTCTCCCTTTGTCTCCCTTCATTTGGCTCCTGTTGTCTCCCAGTGTGGAGGTCTGTCACGGCTCTCCAGGCGGACGGATTCACTTGTCTCCCTTGGTTCCCCTTCATTTGTCTCCCATCTCTGTGGGTGGACGGATTCATTTGTTTCCCTTTGTCTCCCTTTATTTGTCTCCCGTTGTCTCCCAGCCTGGATGCCCCTCTGGGTGGACGGATTCATTTGTCTCCCGTTGTCTCCCAGCCTGGATGTGTGGCACTCACGCTCCGCGTTTTCCTTCACTTCCCGCGGTTCTGTCCTTTTGGCGGGGTCTGGTTTGCCTTCGGCTTTGGCCCTGGCTTCGGTCATTCCTTGTCTTGTGGATGTTGGGGACAGGGTCCTCCTCTGTCTGCCCTTCATTTGGACTTCGATTTCGCTTGGGCTCGTGGTGGGTCGTCTTCCTTGTCTATCGTTGGCTACACCCTGTCTGTTCGTTCAGTGCCTCGTTATCAGTTGCGGTCCCGAGCTGACGATAGCGGTGCGCTGCGGTGCGCGGCTTCAGCTACGAGAAGGCTCTGTTAACCCCCGGTGAAACAAACGTGAATCACGCTGGAGTTAAATCCTCTATCGATTCTTCGAGGATGTTCAACGAACCTTACGCTGAGATACCCAGTGGCGCTCTTGGCACCTGGGGTTGTCCCGGCTCTCCCGGCGGACGGGTTCATTTGTCTCCCTCTCCCTCCATTTGCCTGACGGATTCATTTGTCTCCCCGGTTGTCTCCCAGCCTGGACGCCTGTCACGGCTCTCTGGGGTGGAGGGGTTCATTTGTCTCCCTTTGTCTCCCTTCATTTGTCTCCCGTTGTCTCCCAGCCTGGATGCCTGGCACGGCTCTCTGGGTGGACGGGTTCATTTGTCACGCTTTGTCTCCCTTCATTTGTCTCCCGTTGCCTCCCAGCCTGGATGCCTGGCACGGCTCTCTGGGTGGACGGGTTCATTTGTCTCCCTTTGTCTCCCTTCATTTGTCTGGCTCGGCTCTCTGGGCTTTGTTTCCCTTCATTTGTCTCCCGTTGTCTCCCAGCCTGGATGTCTGGCACGGCTCTCCAGGCGGACAGATTCACTTGTCTCCCTTTGTCTCCCTTCATTTGTCTCCCGTTGTCTCCCAGCCTGGATGCCTGGCACGGCTCTTTGGGTGGACAGTTTCACTTGTCTCCCTTTGTCTCCCTTCATTTGGCTCCCGTTGTCTCCCAGCCTGGATGACTGTCACGGCTCTCCAGGCGGACGGATTCACTTGTCTCCCTTGGTTCCCCTTCATTTGTCTCCCATCTCTGTGGGTGGACGGATTGATTTGTCTCCCTTTGTCTCCCTTTATTTGTCTCCCGTTGTCTCCCAGCCTGGATGCCTCTCTGGGTGGACGGATTAATTTGTCTCCCTTTGTCTCCCTTTGTTTGTCTCCCGTTGTCTCCCAGCCTGGATGCCTGGCACGGCTCTCTGGGTGGACGGATTCATTTGTCTCCCGTTGTCTCCCAGCCTGGATGTGTGGCACTCACGCTCCGCGGTTTCCTTCACTTCCCGCTGTTCTGTCCTTTTGGCGGGGTCTGGTTTGCCTTCGGCTTTGGCCCTGGCTTCGGTCATTCCTTGTCTTGTGGATGTTGGGGACAGGGTCCTCCTCTGTCTGCCCTTCATCTGGACTTCGATTTTGCTTGGGCTCGTGGTGGGTCGTCTTCCTTGTCTATCGTTGGCTACACCCTGTCTGTTCGTTCAGTGCCTCGTTATCAGTTGCGGCCTCTCTCTGTCCTTGCTCGCATTTGGAGTCCCGAGCTGTCGAGAGCGGTGCGCTGCGGTGCACGGCTTCAGCTACGAGAAGGCTCTGTTAACCCCCCGGTGAAACAAACGTGAATCACGCTGGAGTTAAATCGTCTATCGATTCTTTGATGATGTTCAACGAACCTACGCCGAGATACCCAGTGGTGCTCTTGGCACCTGGGGTTGTCCCGGCTCTCCCGGTGGACGGGTTCCTCTCCCTTCATTTGCCTGACAGATTCATTTGTCTCCCTTTGTCTCCCGTTATTTGGCCCCGGTTGTCTCCCAGCCTGGATGCCTGTCACGGCTCTCTGGGTGGACGGATTCGTTTGTCTCCCAGCTTGGATGTCTGGCACGGCTCTCCGGGCGGACGGGTTCATTTGTCTCCCTTTGTCTCCTTCTTGTTGTCCCCCAGCCTGGTTGCCTGGCACGGCTCCCTGGTCATTCGCGGTGTATTCCGCGGGCACGCATGTGTGTTTGAGGCTCAGAAACGTGTGTTTGAGCGCGCGCGTGCGATTGATCAAGCCACAGGCAGCATGCTGCGGATGCACGTACGAGTGCTTCAAGTAAATGATTGTGTGTTCTTGGTGTGTTCCAGCTGACCACATCGGCGCGTTCCAAGTGAACACGCACTTTTTGCAAGTGACCACATGAGTGTGTTCCACGTCAGCACATGTTTGTGTTCCAGGTGAAAGCATGCGATTGTTCTGTTAAAACACATATGCGATCCGGTCAAAATTCCTAGTAAGGGGGTTTAGTCTACAGAGGCCACCGTCGCAGTCACTTTGTGCAGTTTTTCATTCACACACAGCGGAGTCCTGCAAATACCAATGGATTGCCCGCTCCCCACTGGAGGCGCTAGGATGGCGCTTGGTTTGCGCTAGGGTCTTCGGTGATCTTGGTTTCCAAGAGTTGGCGCGTGGGTTGCCGCGATGGGCTTTGCGTGGCTTTCAAGGGTGTAATGTTGCAGTTCTTACTTAGTACTTGAAGCCAGCCCGCACGTTTACCTTCATCTTACGTGGCCTTAATTTGTCAATTCCACACAGATGGTCGCCGTGACTCCAAAAAATACGGCGAACCCGCGCTAGCCGCGCGCTAGCAAGGCGCTAGCGCAGTGGTCAGCTGTGACCGGTTCCCAGTTACGCTTCAATCCAAATTTGCTTCCGCTCTCCTCGCATGCAATTATCATGGAGTGCGACTTGCTGGACAAAGGGGAGAAACAACGGCTGAGGCAAGACGGCAGGGATGCCTTGTACCGAGCATACGGAAGAATTGGGTTGCGTATTTCCCTGCGAAAGCACATGCTTTACTGAATCGATACGAAGAGTTGCCACAATACGATCAAAGCACTTTAGCAATCGATACGAAAGACACTGTGCAGCTAAGCGAGAAAGAAGCGCAATGCGCCGGAAAGCTTTTGCTAAGCTGAAGCCTGTAACTGCTGGAGACGCATCCGATACTGATAGTACTAGCAGTAGTAGCAGCAGCAGCAGCAGCAGGCTCGCGCGCTAGCAATGTGTTGCAAAAAAGCTAGATTGATCGTACACGAACACGATTTTCCTACTTGGAACACGCATATAAAACACAAGCGTTGTTCAAGGCAGAGCCCCATGGAATAGCGCCTCACAGCCGGCTTCGGGAACTTGATTTACGTGTCGCCCAGGCGTGCAGGAAATGTAAATTCCATGTGAACACATTTTTGTTGTCCAGGTGAACGCATGTGTGTTGCACATTTGTGTTGCACATGTTTCTCCTCATGTGCACACACGTGTGTTCCATGTGTACACATATGTGTGTTACAAGTCAACACAGAAGTTTGTTCTGGTTAAACATGCTTGTGTGATCCAGGTCTGCTCCAGTGTCGCACGTGAACACAAATGCCTGTTCCAAGTGAGCGCATATATGGGTTCCAGGTGAACACATATGTGTGTTGCAGGTGAACAGAAATGTGCTTTCCAGACATACACAAATATGTGTTCCAGGTGTACGCATGTGTGTGTGTGCGTGTTCCGGGCGCGCATATATATATATGTGTGTGTGTTCGCGTGTGCACATATGTGTGTTCCACATGTACACATATGTGCGTTCACGTGCGCACATATGCGTGTTGCACGTGTACACATATGTGTGTTCACGTGTACACACATGTGTGTTCTTATCAGACACGTGTATGTGTTCCAGGAGAACACATGTTTGTTATCAGATGAACACGTGCGTGTGT